AGAGAGAGAGAGAGAGAGAGAGAGAGAGAGAGAGAGAGAGAGAGAGAGAGAGAGAGAGAGAAAGCGGGAAGGTAGACGCCATCATGTTTACTTACTACACGACAAATTCGTCCGGCCTGGCCGCGAGCAGTAGCCACATCGGGATGGCCACTCATCATAGTCCGCCACAGAGCTTGGGTACGTGGCCATGGCTTCTGCGGGGGAATCGAGTGCCACGTGCGCTATTCCTCTCCTGCAGTCGCACCTTCCGCGACCTGATTTTTTTCTCCGTTCCGACACCGCAACTGTTCCGCTTCCCCCGCTCGCTCTCGCTATCTTCAGCCCGCCTACCTCCGCCCCTCCCTCCTTCCCTCCCTCCCTCTCCGCGTATCACGCTCTGCCCCCGTCCCTCACTCCCTCTCCTTGCCTCCTACTACCTCTGTCCCCCACTGCACCCCTCGTCCACTTGCTGCCTGTGTCCGCACACACATTACCCCTCTCCCTCAGTCTTTGTCGCTCCCTGTCACACACATTCCCATCATTCTACCCACTGGAAACAATAGATACCCACAAGGTGTGCCAGCAGACTCGGTACATCAACCAACGGTCGCGATGATGTAGCAGACTTACAACTGGTGCGGTGGAACGAAGCCTCTACCATACCAACCCTTCCGCCTATCTACTTCACCTGTTCCTCACTCCTGCCGTCCCTTGATTGCCTCTGTTCACGCGTCGTCTATGGCGCCAGCTCCTGAGAGATACACAAAGGGGATAGCTCGCTCCTCTGCGCTGAAAGTAGCCCCGGAAGCGGACGGGAATGCTTAACGGAAATGCTGAGAACTGTCAGCAATGTCAATGATCGTTGAGTTCTGGCCGAAAGTTTGTCCCATAAGAACGGTAGGGACAAAATAGCAGAGCGCAACTCTTTTTTTTTTTTTTTTTTACCAGAGCGCAATTCTAGTGCAGCGAAACGAGAAATGTGGACATCCCTAGCAGCATCCTGTGGGGGAGAACCTCCACAGTCGAACGTACTGCAGGGATCCTCACTTCTCGTCTTGTCGGACCAAAAATTCGTGTTTGACTTATCCCATCCTTCTGCGTCGGCATAAACAATGGCCCTTCACTCTACCGAGACTGCGTGAGCGCATCACTCATCAGGCTATGGATGTCTAATCCAGCTCCTCATCTCCTCTGCACCGACATGAGCGGATGGCCCTTTCACCCTACCTGGACGACTCCGCCCTGCGTGAGCGCATCACTTATCAGGCTATGGATGACATGCAGGCTCCTAACATCGTCAACTAGGATAGACAGCCTCTGCCACGGACAGTATAGACCTCTACCTCTGTGAATAGACAACCTCTGCGACTGCCACTGCGACTGCGACTAACAAATCCCTGTACACACCGCACCTGCTCCTCTCGACTACTGAGGACTAAAATAGGAATTCGCATTGGGCGATGGGGCCTCGGGGAACCGGCCGGGGTTCGCTTCCCTTACAGGGTACTCACGCTAGAAATTTTCCAGATGCATCTGACCGGAATCACAGCCATTCCTTGACGGACCTGGTCGTTATGACGTCCAGAGCTGAGTCCAAAAGGTCCTGATGTCACAGTTCGTCCTCAGCCGCACCTCCCGTGAAGCAGCCGGCACCCAGCTCATTGGGCCAACACTACTTGTTTCTTTCCTCCCTTTCGCCTTGTGAGGTAAAAATTTGTTGAAATACCCCTGAAAGTTGACGTATTTGCTAAGGTACCCCTATAACACCAACTTCCCTGAGACTCTGTGAAATGTACCCCATTCGCCTATTGGGCCCTGCATCTTTTGTATATGCCCCCAACGGCCCTGTGCAAGTTCTCCATATACCCTGGCAGCTTTTGCACGTGCCGCTCCTAATATTAGGCATGGTTTCTGTTCGCAAATCTCTCTCTCTCTCTCTTTCTCTCTCTCTCTCTCTCTCTCTCTCTCTCTCTCTCTCTCTCTCTCTCTCTCTCTCTCTCTCTCTCTCTNCTCTCTCTCTCTCTCTCTCTCTCTCTCTCTCTCTCTCTCTCTCTCTCTCTCTCTCTCTCTCTCTTTGTGTGTGTGTGTGTGTGTGTGTGTGTGTGCACGCGCGGAGCATGTCGTCTGACAGCACGTGCGGTCCACTCGCAGTTCGACGCGGCGCTCAATGCACAGCCAAAGAGAGAGAGAGAGAGAGAGAACTGCATGTGGAGCACACGTGCTGTCAGACGACATGCTCCGCGCGTGCGCACACACACACACACACACACAGCATCCCGACAAATACATTTGACCAAAAAAGTCAAACATTCTCTCTCTCTCTCTCTCTCTCTCTCTCTCTCTCTCTCTCTCTCTCTCTCTCTCTCGCACGCGCGCGCACGCTCCGCGCCCTTCACTACTGAAACCGTTTTCATACTTTTTTTTTGCCCTTAGAAACTTAAAAAGTAACGTGTTTTTTTTTTCAAGTATTTCTTTTATTTTTATTTTTAGAAAGAACAACATCGTTTTACAAGCAAGCAGTACTTCGAATTCCTCAACCCTAGAAACATGCGGCACGTTAATGGCCGCATCAGGATTTTTCGGTCGGTTGAAGTCCTGGTGGTTTAGGTTGGTTGTGGGGCAAGTGGAGCAGATGTCTAGCCAGTTGAAAAACAGATGGCGAAATAAGTGTTTGGGAGCATACAGTCTACATTTAGACCCATATTGAAAAGTCGCACATGGTCTGCATAGAGGCATGTATAGAAGCCAAAAGCCATTTATGATACCCCTGTATTCGCATCCCATAGGGGACGCATTTATGCATCGCATGCAATTTTTCAACATTGGGTCCACCAATTGTCCGTAGATATAGTGCAGCCCTTGGGAGGGTGAGTATTTTGGAGGGGTCTTTGCAGGGGGTAGAGCGTTGTTATGGGGAGGAGGACAAGTAGTTGGTCACGATTATCTAAGAAGTACAACGACACATTGTAGGAGTGATCCTATTGAAACAGTGTGGTCCACACCTACACCCTTCCGCCCAGTCGGCCCAATCACTCGTCATTTTCCACTAAAGTATTTTCTGTGAATATGGACGCCTTGGCATGGCGGTAAGGTGTAGTGCATTCAATCATTAACAGATCTTACACAACCTCATACTCTATCAACCCTTCAGATGTGACCTTCAAAAAAGTACCAAGTACCATTTATTCAAACAGTGGGGGAATGTGATATGTGTGTGAAGCTAGAAGCCGAGGTAAGTTAATAATTGATACCTCGACTCCTTGCTTGGTGTAGACGGAGAACCTCACACAGTTGAGGGGCTGGTTCGAAATCCATACCAATGCCCTCAGTCCTAAATCACAAGGGTATGCAAAAGAGCGGCACACGCACACACACACGTACAATATATCAATCAATTAAGCACACACATATATGCACATAAACAAACATACACACACATACAACAAATCGATCAATTAAAACACACACATACGTATAATATATACATATACACATATAGTACACACACACCCATATACACTCATATATTTATGTACATGAATATATATAATACACTGACCAAGGATAATAAAAAAGACGAATTATAGTTTCATAACATCTATGTGCACAACATTATTGTTTATTAAGTGATTGACAATTTGCACAAGATTCATACTATACAATGGTAAATTTCGATCATTTTTCTCTCGACCGTGGATATAAATTTTCGAATATAACTTGTAGAAAACAACCACAACTACATCAAACCATTGCTGAAATTACAACTGACATGTTAAAAGTTTGCCTACAAAATGCTCGACGACGTCGTTCTGGTTATAATGTATCCAATGACAATCCAGTTGTAAGATAATTGCTTCAACATGTCGCATGTGCTTCTGCACATGTTTGGAAAAGCAATGTTGAACGACGTATACAACGTCAAGAAGCATTCGCAACTTGCGATCGCTTCGGTCAACCGAATTTTTTCATTACATCAACACCAAATACAGATACAATATACATTTTTGCATCATATGTCGATCTTCTTGATATTCATTAATTTTGCAATATTTTTGTAACGAATCCTCATGTAAACACAGAACAGCTAAAAAAATTATCAATGACAGATAATATTGCATCAGTGCGTCTCTTTAATCGATCAATACTTATTTTTTTACATAATATTCTTAGTTTTGATCATGCTACACATAAAAGCAAACCCAAATGACATTTATTTGGTAATGTCAAAGCATATTTTGGAATGGTGAAAATACAAGAACGATGAACACTATATCTACATGCACTTGTTTGGCTTGAAAATACACCATTAACAACTCTTGAATTTGACTAATTACAAACTTCTAATATTCAATTTAGCAAATTAGTAACACAATATGTTAATAGCATTGTAACAGCACGTGAAACTCAAAATATTTCATTACTCTCTTGTTTTGAATGTCATGCACCACCACCCTGTTATGTACCATATCCAATTTTTTCATCATCGCGTTGTTCACAATTTTCAAAAAAACACTCTAAATCACAACACGAACTTGCAAACTTAAAATGTACACATTGTAATACACTTTTCAGTTCACAACACACACTTCGTCAACAAATTTTAGAATCTGAACCATCACTTGGATATGAGGAGTTATCCGATTTTAATATTCTAAGAGCTAAATTTATTTGTATGACTGGTGATATATTTCTATCAAGCTCTTCTATATCTCCTTTTCCTACAATTTCTGAAATTTCTCAACACTTCTCACTAAATGAAAAACAACATTTTGCTTTCGTTTTACTTGTTTAAACATTATTAAATACTTGGTTATCACAAACATCATATGAAAATATAGAAGAATCAATCCCACTAAAAAATATATCAGAAACAATAAAAAATCAAAAACTTTTCATGTTTCTTATAGGTGAAGGTGACACTGGTAAATCTCACATCATTTTTGCTATTCAAATGTTCGTTGATAAGTGGCAACACCCAAAAAGCATTGTGAAAACTGCACTAACAGGAAAAGCAGCAGTATGAATTTTAGGCACGACATTTCACAACTGGATATGAACGCATTACCTTAAAGAAAATCGTTATTTCGATCGTCGAAAAACACAACTAAAATGCATACGTGGATTCACATCTGAATTAGCTAAAGTTATTATTGAGGAATTTAGCATGATAAGCAAAAACGATTTTGTTCGTTTGGATATTGCATTACGTGATGCACGAAAAAATGATATTCCTTTCGGAGGAATTCATATACTTGCATCTCGTAATATCTTTCAAATGCCATGTGTAAAAGGTATATCAATTTTT